CTAGCCTGTGTTGGTCGACCCCAGACCCGAATATCTGTCAGGTAAACAGGTATTAGCGACTCGTCGAGACGGGCTGAACCGACATGTCATTGGGTCACAACACAAATCTCGGTTCGGCCGACCCGTCTTGATGGCAGATACCATGTGAGAGCTGGGCAAGGCGAGAGGACCAGGGTAAAGGGTAGCGGCTAAACTGGTAGGGGAATGCCGTAAGGTGCGGCTGAGAGGAAGAGGGAGACGTGTAGCAGAGCTGTGCCCCCCCTACAGCAGGAAGTGGAAAAGCCGCAAGGTGGGTTGGGGGGTGGTCAACTGGTTGAGAGGAATTGGACAATGTGAATATTCAGTTGATAATTGTTTGAGCGACTGGCCCATTTCTGAGCCAGATGTTAGCCTAGATTACCTCTTCTCCCTTCCCTTCCTCCCGAGACAAGCACATTTGCGGGTGCGGTGCAGATCGGCCACCAAATTGCCGATCCACACGGACATTAAGTTGAAGTGACGTAACGGTCGACCCGATTCGCCACAGCTGATCCGACCCTACAAGCCCGAGTCAGGTCGACTCTCCGGGGTCTTGACCCATGGGGACCGGCTACATGTTGCTCATGCCTAAGTCTGAACCGCATGTTTGCGTTGCAAAATGATTGCATGCATCATGCATGACTCGGCACGGGCAAGCAGGTGCTGCACTGCACACTTGCACGCTACGCATTGCTCTTTCCTTCCCCAGATATCTCACCCTGTTACTATCTTTCCATTGCTTTATCCCTACCTTCCACCACTCTGGATCTCTTTCCACCACTGTCTTTCCACATGAAACACCTAGCAGAAGTTTGAATGACAACCAGCTTGGTGGAAGCCTTCCCAGTATATTTGTAACAGAAACCATTAACATATTGTATGTTCCTATGAGTTGAAGTGGAAGAAGATCAGCTGTGGGATATGGAACACGGGCTGGTGACTTGCATTAGGCATGAGCAGGGGGCGAACTCGAACATGTTCGTGTTCGCCCCCTGATGAACATGGCCTTCTGCCGAACCGAACAGTGTTCGGTTCGGCGAACGACTTGAGTGAAAATAGGTGTTCGCCGTTCGCCCTAGGAGGCGAACGAATTGCTGCAACAGGCGAACACGAACATGTTCGTGTTCGCCCAGGGGGAAATTCAATATGGAGTAAAATTCAAATCGTTGCACATTCCCTCCCCCCACCTCCCAAGCCAGTCCCGCCCTGCTTCATCCATCTAGTGCCAGCGTGCAACGGCGAAATGCTAGATCCGCACTTCCGCAACGGCGAAATGCTAGATCCACACTTAAGCAACGGCGAAATGCTAGATCTGCACTTAAGCAACGGCGAAATGCTCGATCCGCACTTAAGCAACGGCGAAATGCTCGATCCGCACTTAAGCAACGGCGAAATGCCAGATCTGCACTTAAGCAACGGCGAAATGCTCGATCCGCACTTAAGCAACGGCGAAATGCTCGATCCGTACTTAAGCAACGGCGAAATGCTCGATCCGCACTTAAGCAACGGCGAAATGCTAGATCTGCACTTTACTAACTGCGAAAGGCCAGATCTGAGCCCAAACACCAAGGCCCGCGACCTAAAAATTGGTCGCGGGCCTATTCGTCGACGCACACATTGGTGTTCGTCGAAGGCCTGTGTCAAACACGAACACGTTCGTGTTCGACGCGCCTCGGTGAGCTGAGCCGGGCGAACGGCGAACGTGTTCGGGCGAACACCGAACACGTTCGCCCCGAACAATTTAGGCCAAAAAAAAATCCTGTTCGGTTCGCCTCGAACGTGTTCGAGGCGAACCGAACAGGAGTTCGTCATATTGCTCATCCCTAACTTGCATTGAGGTCTTTCGCATGGGAACGACATTATGACCTGGATTTGTCTTGATGGGTTTGTAAGGAACAGTTCTGACAATGTATTTGTGGTGACAGGAACCTTCAAGGAAATCGATTGTCGGGCCCTCTTCCTGATTTTGCACAATGGAACACGTCTATTACAAGCTTGTAAGTCCGGCACGACCAACAGGTTGGTGCCATGGGAGAAGTTTTGGGTTTGAGGAATGTGTAGTCTCATGGGATTGATACAAGTAGTTTATTATTAGATTTGGAGTTTTGTGTTCAGTTTTGTGGGATTCTTGCTGTTCGCTTGTTTCCCATCTATGTCGAGAAAGACGCGTCCTGCGTCCTAGACCAGAAAGACGCAAGCCCGGGCAGGGCAAAAAACCCCCCGGGCATGCAAAAACAATTGTTATAGGGCATGGGAGGAGGTTTGAGAATTTCAGATTTGCATGAAGGGTTATGAAAAGTTGGGGGGGCTATTTTAGAATGGCGATTTTCGCAAGGGGGGGTCGAAATTTCGCGATTTCGACATTCGCGTCGAAATCACGAATGTCAATTTCGCAATCGGGTTTTTTTTCGGGCAGCCCGAAAAACAAAATCGCCGTGCGTCCTCCGTGCGTCTTTCTCAACATAGTTTCCCATCCCACTCCAGGTATCTAGGACACAACAACTTTACAGGGTCCATACCGCAATCAATCAGCATGCTGACTTCACTCAACGCCATGTGAGCCTTCTATCGCCATGTGCTTTTATTACCTACACCGTCCTTCTCCTAAGTCTTTTGATTTAAGACTAGAGTTCTGTGCAACACAAGGCCACGACCCAGGTCGTGTAACCTGTAAGATCATTCTTCCTCTTGTCTTGTGCGTGACCTCTGCAGTTCCTTGGCCAACAACCAGCTATCAGGGTCCTTGTCTACACCTATTACGACCCTCACCAATCTCGAGGCCGTGTAATCTGCTTACCTTTTGTTTGCCATAATTCCACATACAATCATAGTCCACCACCACTCGCTGCTCTGTAGTACCTCCACATATGATATCCTTGTTCTACTTATCCTTGCTTGCTCATCTGATCTCAGTCACTTAGCGTTGTTACTCATTTTCCATGCTCAAGCGTTTTCTCACTCATGCACCTCCATTAGAGGCCTGGCGTGTAATGTTTGAGGCACCTCAAGAGCTGCTTTCATGTGCCCATGGTCTTGTGCCATGCGTCCATCACTCTAAACCCCCATCAGAGACCTGGCGGCCAACAGCATCTCAGGACCCTTACCCGCTGGCCTCGGGACCCTCTCCAAACTTCGTACCCTGTATGAAATACTGTCATGCAGACTTTGCCATGTGTCGTACCATGCTATGTAGGGATAACCACAAGCCGGGCTGGATATATGTGACGGGGCAGAGGGCAGCCCGACCGGGGCAGACCATGGTCTGGGTCAGCCCGGCTCAGCCCGGCCCGCCAAGCCGGTCGTTGGACACTGGACGCTGCCACGAACGCTGGTTGCTTGTCAACCTTTTTTTGGTCAGTGAAGTGCAAAATCACTATTTTTGTATTTTGATGCGTCTTCCCAGCTCGTCAGAATCTAAAATGGTAACCCATCTGCCCACGAATTTATTTGCCAACAATGTTGTGCTGAACCATTCCTCCTAGACATGAGCAACGGGTGAACACCGAACATACAAAGCGGAAGTTAGCATACTCCAACACGGTCGACCTGATCTGAGCCAAATATTCTGACCCGGCACGGTCAGGTCGGGTCGGGGCTGACGCTGGTGACACGACCTGGCCAAGAACCCCGGTCCAGTTGACCCGACCTGGGCTGACCTGTTGCTCATGCCTACTCTGATGCTTCTGCACGCTGGCAGGTCTGTATCTGACAACCAGCTCACAGGGAGACTCCCTCCATCCATATGCAACCTCACCAAGCTAGAACAAATGTATTTTATAACAAATGTACAAATGTCTGAGTGACTAGATTGCAACCTCCATCCTTCCATATCTATGATTGTACGAATCCCTGCCGTACATGCGAAATCTTTTCTACTCTTCACTTTTCCACGATAGCCATGGTTGTGTTGTTGAGGTAATGGCAGCAATCCAGTCGCTCCTGACATTGCTCTTGTTTCTTACAGCCCCTCCACATCTTCCAAGCTCGCACGTACCGATTCAGTAAGCCATGATGATTCCTTTCTTACTGCTTCAGATTTCTTCGCAACAACTACTTCTATGGGAAATTCCCGTCCTGCCTCTTTAAACACTGCCTGCACAGAATGTAAGAGTGTACCTATGTAATGTTGTTGTCTGATACTAGTACGAGTGTACCTTGGGGGGGTAAAGGAGGACTGCGCTCAGGTGGTTTCTAAGATTGAAGAACAAATGGTTTCTGCCTGTGGGAAGTGCATACAGGGCAGTCGGCATGAGCAAAAACAGAACCAGTTTGCACCAACGAAACTGCGGCTGTTTCTTGCAGCCCGGTTCGTTTCGACCCGGTTCGACATTCGACTGGTTCGATGCCTTTTTCTTCCGAGCCGCGTCATACGGAACCGGTTGGACGCCGATGTCGATTAGAGTTGGACCGGAGCCGGTTCGACGTGGAAACTTACGTGACTTGAGTGCACTTGTGGCAATTTTGGTAAAGAAAACAGAGATTTGGAACTCATTTCGAGGTCCAAATCCCTCTTACACATCCGCCAGCCTTCCCCACCAAAGTTAGGTCTTTTCATGATGAGGGTGCAAAAGAACGGCCGTTTTCTGTGAAAATACCTTAGAAACCGTATCGTAAATTTTGGTCGTTCATAACGATTTTATATAATTCCAGTTGGAGTTCGTTTGGAAAAAATAGTAACGGACGTTTTATACGGTCATCTTTTTTCTTCCAGGGGGAGCATCGCCCCATGAGACGAAACTGATGGTGGAAATGGACAGGAAGAAGAGGAAAGGGGGATAATTTGTTCTACTTGTAAATACAACGGTTAGCCCTTTCTTCCATGGGTCCCTTTGTGGCCATGAATGGACATATACCTGACAAGTCAATTGTACCGTTTTTAGGTGACCAAATTCTGTTAATTTAGTTCTTTCTGCGTCCTACCGCTGGTGGTTCTACTGCCTTTGAGTCGGGTTGGGTAACCTGACCTGACCTGTCCGGTTCAAATGCCCATCTCAAGCATGGCTCGTGATGTTCCTTGGTGAGAAATAAGACGGCTGGAGCCAGCTCCCTTGCTTGTGTGCACTAGTGCCATGGGCAAGCAGTCTTCAAGCCGCTTGTCGCAAGCTCCACATGCCGGGGAGCCGGGCACGGCTCGTTGCTCGGCTCAACACAGCATGAACCAGCCAGAGCCACAAGCTAGCTAGCCACGGATTGGGGCTTTGCCCATGTCTGGCGTCTATGATCACAACGACTGACAGGAATAACAAGCAGATGCTACAATGCCCTCTGTGTTTCTCTTTGTCACCCCCCTTTCCATTCATTTCAGTGACATCAGCAACAACAGCTTCTACGGCCCAATCAACAGCAACTTCCGCAGCATGATTCCCAACGATCGTGCTCTGCTCAACATCGCAGGCAACTTTTTCTACGGCGACCCCATGCTCTACGCCGATGGCTGCTAGTTCTGCCCCTCCGGAGTCCTCCAGCCACTTGTCTTGGCACCAGGCGACCTCACCAACCCCTCTGGTGGTCGCTGTGCACCCCAGGGGCCGAAAGGAGGTTATGTTGTGGTGACACGCGCAACGGCCAACAAGAGGGGCGAGGCGAGCCTTCGGCAGAACTGTTTCACGCTGAACCAGGAGATGGAGTGCACGGCGAACGAGACGCAGCGCAGCAGCGACGAGTGCCTGGCATTCTGCAGCATGTCACGAGAGCTGGGGCCGTGCGACGGGCACGGAGCGTGTGTGCCGCCGCAGGCGGGGGCAGCAGAGGCGCGCTTCACGTTTGAGTGCGACGACGGCTTCGTCCCCACCAACGGCATCCTCGGCTCCACCTGCGCCCGCCCTGCTCCGCCCCCTGCTGCAGGTATTTTGCGTGGTTGGCTAGGGTATCCCGTGGTTGGCGGTCTTAGGGTTTATGATTCTTTGGTGTCATATAAGCTTTGTAGCTTCGAGTGTCATACAAGGATATCTACAGAGACGTTAGGAACGTTGTTACGGGGAAGTCGAACAATCCAAGGAGCAACAGCTTCAATGTGAATCGCTTGTCCGCACTCCCCCAACCCCCCCCTCCCCCCTTCTTTCCTTGCCTCTCCAGCGCTCTCCACGGGTGCAGTTGTGGGCATCGCTGTGGGATCTGCTGCTGCCTTGGCTCTGCTCCTCGCATTCATTGTCGCACTGCTCTGGCCCCGCCAACGAAGTGAGCCACCACCCCATTTCCACCCCGCTTCCTCCTAACCGCCATATATCCATGTTCAGGGGAAATATGCACTGCAATTTGCATTGACTATGCATTACCAAAGAATTAACCCAACTGGCGTCATTATTCAATTTAAGTTGTGATCGCCTCAACACACAAAATTTCCCATTCTTATACCTTTTTGGTTGTAGTTGGGGAGACAGGATGCGTCTTTCTGATCATAGCCAGAGAGTAGCAGCAAACATGCGAGGTGGAGGGGAGCAGTGACGCTTTGTGTTGTTGCGCCAATTCCCACATAGGAGTTGGCGCCAGCATAGAAGACTGTTAATGCTAGCCCTCAATCTCACATTTGTACTTGTACTTCTTATATCCTAGTTTAGTGTAGTTTGCAATTTGTGTTTCATTGGGTGTACACCCACATCCCAACCAAACCCAAATGTGATCTCCAAGCAATTTCCAATCCACCAATTGGAGATTGCCTAGGGATTAACCCCAATTCTCTAGGATTGCCCCCGATTTCCTCCCCATCCATTCCTTGCTCATTTCTAATGTACTTAAAGAGCTTTGAGCTCACTACTAATGCATGGATTCTAAGCTCTAGTTCTGACATGGTATCGGAGCTCTTCAACCGCACATGCGGATCTTGATCCTCCTATCTTTGTGGAGTCCTCTCCCGCAATCTTCGGCGTAGCCGCCTTCAATCCCATCGCCGGTGATTCGCGACATCCGTGGCCGGACATTCTCCCCCGTCATTGTCCCTACATTCTCGACAACTTGTACGGTTTTTTCTGGTAAGCGCATCGTCGGCACCTTAACCAATAGCGTTTTTCGTCAAACGTCGTCGCTCTATTTCCCCTCCTCGTTGGGCCGCCGCCTGTCGCCCTGCAGCTTCTCGTCGGGCCGCCGCCCGCCGCCCCGCAGCTTCTCGTCGGGCCGCCGCCCGTCGCCCCGCAGCTTCTCGTCGGGCTGCCGCCCGTCGCTCCGCAGCTTCTCATCGGGCCGCCGCCTGTCGCCCCGCAGCTTCTCGTCGGGCCGCCGCCCATCGCCCCGCAGCGGCACTTCTATCCCCCACCCCCCTGCAGCCGAACAGGTGCAGCCGCGCAGACGAGCAGCCGTGTAGCAGCAAAGCCGCGAAGCTGAGGGATAGGGGGGGGGGGGGGGGGGGGGGGGGGGGACCAGGGTCAGCAGTCCATTGATAGTTTTAAAATCGGATTTTCCTTTAAATTCTCCTTCAAAATCCCTAAACCTCAAAATTCTCTTTTGTAAACCCTAAACCTCAAGTTCTTCAAATTCTCCTTCGGAAACCCTAAATCTCAAGCTCCTATCGGTGACTTTAGAGGGGCGCTTCGTGCGAGACCTAAAGGGTTCTTCGCAATGGCCTTTGCCTCGGCCACTCTCGCCAACCCCATCACCCCGTTCCGCCTTGAATCCGACGGCACTAGCTCCAACTTCAAGGCATGGAGCTACGGGGTTGACAAGCACTTCCTGAGTCGTGAAGTGGGTGGACTTGACCTCAAGGACGTTCTTCTCAATCATGGCAAGGGAAAACACCCGCACGTCCCCAAGGAGCCGAATGGTCCCTCCGATGCTCTGGCAACCCATGAGTACGAGGATTCTGTTGCCAACTACCGCAAGTGGGAAAAGGCCGATGCGGCTATCATTAGCGTCTTCATCGGCTCCACCCCTCCCGAACTTGTCAACGCTTTTCACAACTACCCCACCTCCAATGCCATTTGGAATCATCTTCAGGAAAGGTTTATGAACAAAACGGGGGTCGGGGTGGCCATCCTCATTCCGAGTATGTTTCAAGTCCGCCTTGACCGGGAATGGCCGACTACATCGCCAAGGTGCAAAGCATTCATGGCAAGCTCAAGGAGCTGGGAATCGTCTTCCCCGAACAAGCTCCTGCTGCCGCCCTTCTTTTTGGCCTCACCTCGGCATATGAAGTCACGAGGAAGATGCTCCTCACACTCACGGCGGAAGACCTCACATTTGCTAAGGTCTCTTCTGCCCTCCTCTCTGCCGAGAAAGACTCCACGGCTCAAGCCAAGGCCTACGCCCTCCGCGCTCCCGTGCCTCAAGCAAGTGTTGCCTCGGCTCCCTTCCAGCGCCTACGTCGTCAAGTATGGCAACCGCAAGGGACAAGTGTGTAGTGGCACCAACCACCCCCTCGCTACGTGCTTCAAGAAGAAAGACGACGAATGGTATGCCATCCACGTAGTGGACAAGAAGCCGCCGAACTGGATGCGCCCTCATAAGGCCAACCTAGTTGAGGTCGAGGACCCTACTTCGGCTAGTGCTAGTGATAGTGCTCCTGCCGATGTGCGTATCAACTTATTGTTCCCTAGCACTGCCATGATTAATGAAGCAACCTCCCAGTACACCGGCTCATCACAAGCACCACAATACATAGAATTCACACGACAGCGGGGCCACTCACACAGTGCTCAAAGAGACGCTCTCCTTCAAACCCTACCCTACACCTATTCCTCTCTTGGGAGCTGATTCAAGCTCCACCACTTTTGCCAAGGGTTCGTCCACTGTCCCATGCCCCGCCTTCCCATCCGGCACAGTCACTGACATGTGCGTGCCCTTACTACGCCACAATGTATTGGCTCAAAAAGAACTTTTGGAGGCTGGGGTCCGTACCATAATTTCGGAATACGATGACTATTGTGATATCATTGACCCACTCACCAACAAGGTCTTAGCTCGCTTCACCCTCAACAGCAGCGGCCTCTACACATTGCGTGTACCTCTCCCACAGGTGTCAACCACCCAAGCACAGGCTGACAACACACCATGCTCATGCCGCAGTTTCGCTAATCCGACCATCCTCTACCACCATCGGCTTGGGCACCCAAACTTCCGCACGCTTGCTGACATGGCCTCCAAGAAGCTTCTTTTCGGCCTACCATCCTCACTTCCTCCACCACCTGACTCCCCCGCTCCCACATGCCTTGACTGCACCAAGGGCAAGCTGCGGCAACAGCCCCACCCTGCCTCACCCTCAATCGCAGCAGCCCCACTCGACCTAGTGCACATGGACGTCTGGGGCCCTGCCCCTATTCCGGCACGAGGCGGTCATCGGTATTTCCTTGCTATAGTTAATGACCACTCCCGCTACGTCTCTGTGCACCTCCTCCACACTAAGGCTGGGGCTCCAGAGGTCATCATGGCGTGGGTCAATCTAGCACAGACCACCTTTGGCCGCAAGGTCAAGCGCCTCCATTCAGATAGTGGTGGTGAATTCCGCAACGACAAGCTCAAAGCCTTCTGCTCCTCAGAAGGCATTCTGCAAAACTTCACCCTTTCTGACAGCTCGCAGCAGAATGGCATAGCAGAGAGTCGTAACCACAACTTGGTGCAGATCGCTCGATGTCTCCTCAGCCACTCCCACGCACCACTCTCATTCTGGGGGTACGCCCTCTACCATGCTGCCCTCCTCTACAACCTCTACCCCCACCCGCATCTCCCCGACACCACTCCCACCACACTCTGGCTAGGGAAAACACCCACTGCCCGCCCCCTTCGCGTCTGGGGGTGCACCGCCGATGTCCTCTTCATCCCTCAGGCTCGGCGACAGTATGGCGGCAAACTCGGCCCCAAGACTCAAACATGCATTTACCTTGGGCACAACGCCGACTCCCCTTACTACATCTTTCTCAACCCCTCCACTCAACAGTTAGTCCAGAGCCGCGACGTTGTCTTTGATGAGACTCACCCCTTCTACTCCACCTCGGGGGGGATCCCCCCTCCGGACCACCCTCTCTCGTGTTGGCTGACTTCGATGCACCTCCTGAAATTCCACTTGCACCAGCTCCCACACCTGCCATTGAACCCTCTCCCTCTGAGGTCTCTGACCCGACCTCACCGGTTTCATTAACAGCTGCTCCTCCGTCTCCCCCCTCTCCCACCATCCCAACTGCGCCCCCACCACCAAGCGCACCAATCACATACCATCGGCGATCGAACCCTCCAGCCCCACCTCCTCCCACCGCTCCCTCTTCCACTCAGGAACCCGCTCTCCCACAACCGAGCGAGCTGATCACGTACCAGTGTCGGCCGATCCCTCCGCCCAAACCTCTCAAACTGACCCCTCCGACTCCGCCCGCTCCACCCTCCTCCCCGATGGCTCATGGCACTCGGTCGCATGGTGCTGCTCCTCCACTGGCGCTTGCCATTCGATGCTCAGTGATCACTCCGACTCCTCGTGCTGGGAGGGATGTGCCTTCTACCCTACTAGAAGATATGCATGAGGAGTTTTGTGATCTTCACGCTGTCATTCACCAGCTCTCGCACATCTTCCCCGATATCACTGAATCACCCTCACTCAACTTCTCGGAGAACCCGACCATCCCCATCCCTCTCACCGTCCAAGAGGCTCTCTCGGGTCCACATGCTGCCGAGTGGCGTGCTGCCATGGAGGCTGAGTATGAAGCCTCGCAACCACTCCTTCGACGACGAAACTCCACCTCCCGGAGTCAACACCGTTGGGGGCAAGTGGCTGTTTCGAGTGAAACAACTTCCTGACGAAGCCACTGTGTTCAAAGCACGCTATGTGGCCAAGGGGTTCACTCTGCAGCAGTACTTTGACTTCTTCAAGACCTTTTCTCCCACATCCAAACCACCCACCGTTTGCACGCTCTTGGATGTGCCAGCACGAGAAGACTTTGAGATCAAATCCATGGACGCCTCTTTGACTTTCCTGCAAGGACACCTCAAGGAGACTCTGTTCATGGATCGACCTGAAGGCTTTTCAGGAGAGTTCCCTCCCAACAGTGTGTGAAAGTTGAATCGTCCCGTTTACGGCCTCAAGCAAGCCCCTCGTGAATGGCACAACAAAGTGAAAGAAGTCCTTCTCTCATTGGACTTCCACCCATCATCTGCTGACCCGACCTTCTTCATTCGCCATCACTCTGAGCCATTCTACATCCTTGTCTATGTCGATGACTTCATCCTCGTCCCCAGATGACCTCTGTTCAGGCGGCCCTAAGCAAGGTCCTCCTGATGAAAGACCTCGGTGACCTCAAACACTACCTGGGGATGGAGATTTCTCGCAATCGTCAGGCCGCACCATCTCACTCCCCCAGGAGTTCTACATCAACAACGTGCTCAAGCGCTTTGAGATGGAGTTGTGCACACCTACGGCCACTCCACTGCCGCTGCAACACCTCCTCACCGCTCCAGCTGTACCCACACGAGAGGCATGCACTGAGCCGTACCCGGAGCTTGTTGAATCCCTCATGTACGCCATGATGTGCACCCGGCCTGACCTGGCATACCCTGTCAGTGTCCTCTCCCACTATGTGGCTCCTGGACGCTCCACTGACCTTCACTGGAAAGCGGCAAAGCGGGTGCTGCGCTATCTGCAGGGCACCAAGTCTCATGTCCTCACCCTTGGTGGGCTTTCTCCTCCTCGACTGAAAGGTTACACAGACTCCTCCTGGGCTGATGACTAGACCGACCAGCGCTCCACCCGGTCGTCTTCAGTCTCCCTCTCCTCCTGTGAGGCTGAGCTCTATGCTGGCACCATGGCGGCTCAGGAGGCCCACTGGGTCACCTTCCTACTCCAGGAGCTTGGCTACCCTCAGCCCACTCGCACCTTCTGGTGTGACAACAAGAGCACCATCCACATCTCCCAGGATCCCGTGTATCACACTCGCACCAAGCACATCGAACTTCGGCACTTCTTCATCCGTGACCTTGTCCAGCGGGAGCAGCTGAACGTGGAGTACGTTGCATCTGACTGAAACTTGGCTGATCTGTTCACCAAGCTTCTTGGAAAGGTCCCTCACCATCACCTTCTAGGCGCCATGGGGCTCTGCGCTCCACCTTCTCTGCCATAAGTTCGATTGACGCCTATGGGGGGGTGTTAATGTTAGCCCTCAATCTCACATTTGTACTTGTAGTTTCTATATCCTAGTTTAGTGTAGTTTGCATTTTATGTTTGGTTGGGTGTACACCCACATCCCAACCAAACCCAAATGTGATCTCCAAGCATTTCCCAACCCACCAATTGGAGATTGCCTAGGGATTAACCCCAATTTCCTAGGATTGCCCCCGATCCATTCCTTGCTCATTCGTGATGTACTTAAAGAGCTTTGAGCTCACTATTAATGCATGGATTCTAAGCTCTAGTTCTGACAAAGGCTACTGGGCCCGAGCACCATGGTAGGCTTCTGGTGGACCAATTTGGGTCATTCTCGGCCAGCCCGCCCCTTCTTACCATCGCAATAATCAATCTCCGATTTTTTTTACCAAGTTGGCCTTCTCGTAAGACACCAAGTGGTGTACATAACGTTTTGCACAATCAACAGGCACACAAGATACGGTTCCGCACGTTTGGTCTCCAGCATGCAACCAATGACTTGAGAGTGGGCAAACTCGAATATGAGTTCCATCCAAGATGTGATGTGCAAGACATGGGTCGCCACAAGCTGAAAATCAGATCGGCCTAGCGGGGCAACCATGAATCCATAAAGCCAGCGTTTATTGGGCCTGTAGCGAATGTATATTGGCTTTGTCTCTTCTCTAATGTGTCCGCTCATGTGGCAGGGAAGTGGAGCGACCTGGACGTGTGTCAGGAGTTCAGCATCGGGGAGATTCTGCGGGCCACAGACAACTGGGCTGAGGAGCGTGTGCTGGGGAAGGGCGGCTTTGCCACCGTCTACAAGGGCTTGTCCAGCAAGGGCGAGCTGTGGGCCATCAAGCGCAATGAGCTCATGTCCAACGACTTCGAGAAGGAGGTCAGTGAGGGGAATCCCTGGACCCGGGGGATGTGGAGGGGACGAAGAGGTTGATTGGTATAATCCAAAGTAGTTTCAATTCTGGTGCCAAACATGCTCATTACGGCTCTCATACATGTGCTGTGGGCACTCCTTGAAGCCTCGAATGAGCTGGCTGGTGTGGGAAATGGCGCCCGTTGCAACATGAGAAATTTTCCTTTACTCCCCTTTTCTTCTGGAATAACAAGCCAACTAGGATTTATTGATCGTTGCTGTCATACTCCCCTTCCCTTCTGCATTAACACTCCTTTGAACCCACCTTCTCCCCCTTCCTTCCTTAAACCCCCCTCACCCCTCTAATGAGGTGTCAGGTGCGGGCGACTGCGTCGCTGTGGCATGAGAACGTTCTGCTGTTTAAGCCCCCTTAACCACCTTTAAGCCCCTTTTGAACCACCATACCTCTGGCAGGTGTGGGCGATGGTGTCGCTGTGGCATGAGAACGTTCCTTTAACCCCCCTTCTTTTCTCCTTTAACTCCCCCATACCTCCGGCAGGTGCGGGCAATGGCGTCACTGCGGCATGAGCACGTGGTGCGCCTGTTGGGCTTCTGCCTGCATCAGAACGTGGAGAGCGGCCAGCAGGAGCAGATCCTCGTCTACGAGTTCGTGCCCAACGGGGACCTCAAGTACCACATCCACGACTCCAAGAGTATGTCTCTCCCTCCCTACACAATGAGTGAATAGAGTTCCCAACGGGGACCTCAAGTACCACATCCATGAATCAAAGAGTAAGCTTTGAGAAGAAGAGATTCAAGTGAGCCCAACGGGGACCTCAAGTACCACATCCATGACTCCAAGAGTATGTTCCCGTTTCTGTACTCTTCGTCTTGTTGGATTATTTGCTAGTTGTTCGTTGCTTGCATCTCTTGTAAGCCATTGCTTGCTCTGCTATCTTCGGTAACACTACCAAGGTGCAACAAAAATGGTATGTTGTTTACATAAGCATGAGCAGATGTTCAAACACTTGTTTGGTCCGACTCGAACCCGAGCATGTCCAAAAAAATTCTACTCAAAAAGTGAAGTATTCAAGTTGAGCAGCTTGATTTGGCTCTCTGCCTAACGTTGAGTGACATCGAAACTAACGTGTTCGACACGACATAAGTTTGTGTCAAACACTTCGGAGATCGATGCGATCTCCCGATTCGGGCCATAACCTTACCTTTGCACCTGGTGTTGCCCCACTACGGGCCGGCCTGGTCTACGTGTTGCCTAGTCTACCTGTTGTCCACTTAACCTGTTGTGCCTTTCCCTTCACCTCGTCCCAGAGGCCCCCTGACGGCTCTTCGAGCATTCCCATGCTTGCAATTCAATTTGCATTCCATCATTCTCACCTTGATTCTCTCCTTCTCCCTTCAAATGTACCTCTTTTTTCCCCAGCGACCATGTCCCTGCAGCAGCGGCTGCAGCTGGCGGTGGGGGCGGCGGAGGGAGTGGCGTATCTGCACAGCTTCGCGATGCCCATCGTGCACCGCGACCTCAAGCCCGGCAACATCCTCGTCACACAAGACTACCAGGTGGGGGCTGGCTGAGGGGGGAGCATGGTGGCATCAGAAGCTGTTCAGCTTGTATTAGTTTAGTATTCAGGGCCTTCTGATAATTTAGAACATTATTGGCCTGACCTGAAAAATCCACTGCAGGCTATTTTGTATAGGACGATTGAGATGATTCAATCGTCTACAATCTATGCCATAGCCCATAGGTATATGGGTACACACATGCCCTTTTAACACTATTGGTTAGCATGCAAAAGGGCGTTTTTAACAGGGTATTGGAGCTGGGGTTCAGATCCCAGTGTGCATCTTCTCCCTTGGCAATCTCTTGTTGCGGGTGACTGTTGCTCATAGTGTCACTAGGACGACCCAAAGATCCTGCAGGAACTAGAGATGATGAACATATGGGAGCCTAGACCCATCAAACCAGCATGATCTTTTTTTGCCCAGTCTGTTAGCGCACTGGTGTTTACAAGGTGTCAAGGCGGTTAGACGTTGCACTCTCAGTGTGCACCGACTCTCATAGCTTTCTCCCATTACAGGCATTCTTGTTCGTAAGGGCCATTGGATGACCCAGATATCCTGGAGGGGCTACAGGTACTGTCTTGCTGGCTATGGGTGCGTTGACTTGCTTGCGCAACTGGTTAGCAGAGCGGCGTTTGTAGAACAGGTTGGTTTGTAAATATCATCGCATCAATTAACACTAATTTTAACTCCTCCACTCATACATAGATAAGATTGTGTGTGTGTGGTTCGGGCTGTGGGTGTGCGTGCGCCCATGGGTGCGGTCACAGGCAAAAATAGCGGACTTTGGCTTACTGAAGCAGCTTAGCCAGGCAGGAGAGGACGATGATCGGACCCGAATAGCCGGGACTCCGGGCTACGTGGACCCGGATTACACCCGCTCCCATGTGGTTTCTGAAAAGTCTGACGTGTTCAGGTGGGATGTAGTAAAGATTACACACAGCAATGTGCTGCCATCAAGGTTTCCAGTCCCTTTTCGCCCTCCATCTCATGAACCACATCTCTGCATGCCTTTTCTCGCAGTTCTCTTGCTCTTTCATGGAATCTTGCAAAAAGGTGGACCCTTATTCGGGTGGGGCTTATCGTCCTCTTTTCCCCCACTTCTCTCCTCGCTGTCTTTTCCATCTGAGCAGCTTTGGCGTGGTGCTGCTTGAGCTCTTGACAAAACAGAGGACAAATGTGGAGGGAACTAACGTCCACATTCGTAAATGGGTGAGGGCATGGTAACACTGGTGACATTTAATATTCCACAACTACACACCCCTAATCTATCTTTTCAGATTTCCTATGTTCTCATTCCCTTGTTCCTCATAACGTGACTTGCTGTCCTCCCACTATTTCCGGCTCTCTTACTTCACCCATGCGATTCACGCAACGCGCACGGTGCACGCGTACGAGTTCAGCGAGCCCCCCCTCCCCTCCACCCACCTGCCCTGCCCTTGCCCCTGCCCCTCCCCCTTCAGGCGACGCGCAAGGTGCAGGCGTACGAGTTCAGCTCGCTGAAGGACGCGGCACTGGAGGCCCCGGAGGATGCGGTGGTGGAGTTTGCAGACATCGCTCTCGACTGCGTCAAGGTGCCCGGCTCCCGCCGCCCCCCCATGAAAGACGTCGCACGCCGCCTGCAGGCGCTCCTCTCTAAATACTGCAGCGAAGGGACCTGCAACCCCCATGAACCGAGCACACGCATGACGGAGACCATGGAGGAGAGCCTGGAAAAGCTCACGGGTGGTGGCACCGGTGGTGACATGGACACTTTTGGAAAGATAGATATTTCGGAGGAGTTGTGAGGGCTTGCTGCTGGGTGGACGAGTTCTAATTTGACAGGGAAGTGGTGATTGGTGGACTAAAGATAGTCAGGCATTTCACGCGTGCTTCCATTAGAGCCGACTTAGATCGGATCTAAGGAGGGCTTCAATGCTCGGGATTTTACTCTATTATACCGTATTTCAGGCAGGTTAAGTGATGGGTATGCGTAATCAGCCTTGTGTAGATGTTGATTTATTTTTCTTTTTAGAGTACACTTCTACACTACCATCATCCCTCAAACATATGCACAGGTAAAGATTTTGCGCCCTCGTGCCTTGGTCTGAGTAGGGTGTGTTGAATTGTATCCGATTTAGCACGAATCTCTAAGTAATGGAGTAATACCCGTCATCGCCCGGATGTAAAACATATATGTCTTATCTTATACACTAGAAAAAATGCTTGGGTTGTCTTGTAATTGGGGTGGTTTAGGGTGTCTTACAATTCTTATAAATGGACAAAGATCAGTTTAGAAGATACCCCCTCGTTATAAGATTACCCCTAACCCCTACACTGGCTTAATCCGTATACACCAACAGGTGTCTTATAATCAGGAACATCCATTTATAAGATACCCCCGTTTTAAAGACACCCCCTATCTTCAATTCGACATTGTCTTATATCCGGGTGATGACGGTAGCTGTCAGAATCCCAACAGCTAACCACTGTGATAAAATGACTTGTTTGTATAGCGGATGAGTGCGCCCGTAACCTCCAGGCCAACGTGCATATAACCAGGGTCCTCGCTAGGTTTTGAACCCCCCTGATTCGGTACAGAGCGGTACCTTGGGACTGTGACACAAATGTCAAGGCAAGAAGGTACTCTTAATGTTCACAATGTGGAAAAAAAAAAAAAACACAAAAAAAAAACGTACCAAAGTTAGGATATCATGGCTACGGTTTCCCATCAAATGGCTAGAGCCTTATGGCCTACGCCAAAAAGCTTGGGGCTTCTGACTGTTCCAAATGGGGTAAGGGAGCTGATAATGGGAACGATCAGCATGGTCCTTCCGGAGTGGGCCAGGTTTGTGTTGGCTACATCTTGGATCTATACATACACTCGCCCGTTTTTCATAGGGTCTAGGGTTCAGAAATGGAGGAACGGAGAGCGAGTCTCATCGAACAAAACATCATGGCTGCAAATGAGCTTCTGAGAGGAGGGAGCATAGAAAAGGTAGCCAGGACAGTCAGTGTTGATGGCAAGGAACGCACAGAGCTGCGCCTTGGGAGCGAGTTTCCCACCCTGGCGTCCAGTCAGCGGGGTTGACAAGGACATGAGCGACACTGTCCCACACCTGAAGAGGGTGGGCAGAGGGCTGGCGGCAAGTTCGGAGTTGGAAGGGGGTAATGGTGAGGCAAAGAGGGTGAGGGCGAAGGTTGAAAAGAAGAGTGGCGTGAGGAAGACATAGCTTCAGTTAGAGTGGGGAGCAGATGCATGAATGGGGAGACAGCGAGTGGTCTCCATGAGAGTGCGATTGCGATGATTGGTGACACCATTCTGTTGAGAAGAGTATGGAAGGGTGGAAGTGTGGCGAGTGATATGAGAGGAGCAGTAAGACAAGAGCGAGTGGTTAGAAAACTCATCATTACCATCAGAATGGAAGCGCACAACATGGTGCCCAAAGCAAAGGCGTCCCAGTTCAGCCTAGTGAAATATGATAGAAGGAGCTGTTGGAAACCTTCCAGTCCTCTTGCCCCATCTGCTACCTTACCACTCCCACAAGCCCGTCCTGCAGCATTTCCCTTCCTCTCCTTTCATGAGTACTCGGGATCTTACACGTTTCCTTCGTTCTTACTCCTGCACTCAACCTTTTGTTTACCCTTATCTGGCTTGATGCCCTCCATGATAGCCTCACATGCATCTTTCTTCCTGCGACGGTCCACTGATTGCTATGGCCTTGAACCCTACTGCGGAGATAACTGAATCAACGGGAGCTAGACTGCGAGTTAGGCACGGGTGCTCGTGTGATCTCTGCGTTCGTTGATCCTTAGTCGTTTCCTAGTGCACACACTGCTTGCTAGTTCACGGGGCAATTTGGCAAGAGTTTCACTAGAGAAAGTTGACAACAATGGGTGATACAACATTGGCAACACAGACTACATCAGAGCTAGCTAGGCTGCTGGTCGACCTCCAGCGCAGCAGTACTCGCACCGCTCCAGCGTTGCAGAGTAGCGGTTGGCCAACGTTGCAAGTCCACGGTGTGCCAACGCTGCAGCAAGTCGGCTGCACAGCGTTGCACCCGCAGGACAACGGTGCACCTGCTTCGTAGGTGCGTGCAGCTGGTTGGTGCACCACTCCTTGTCACGTGCACAGCGCAGACGTCCAGGTCGAGTCCACGCCAGCGACTGCGCCTACCAGCCACGTCGACCTCGGGATACCACTTCCGAGGTCGGCCTCGCAGAAGCCTCCCCGGCGACCTTCGCACACGTCGCCCGGGTATCCAGGTTGACCGAGCAACCACGCCTGGTCGCCCAGCTCAGTTGGTCGCTGGCTACACCTGACCGGCGTCCCTAGAAGAGCTGTCCCAGCACCCAGGTCGGCGTTCTGACGCCTAGGTCGGCGTCCAGGTGCTCAGGACACCATGCAGACGCCCAGGTCGGCGTCCAGGCACCCAGGGCGCCGTCCAGACGCCCAGGTCGGCGTCCAGGCGCCCAGAGCTCCGTCCAGGCGCCCAGGTCGGCGTCCAGACGCCTAGGTCGGCGTCCAGCCTCCCAGGACGCCGTCCAGGCGCCGAGGTCGGCGTCCTCCTGCTCGGCGCCCTCCAGCTAGGCGCCCTCACTGCAACAGATCGGCTGCGCTCCCCACACACCCGACTACGAAGTCGGCTCCGCCCAAGCGCGGACGGGGCCAACCACAACTCCCGGGGCTACACCATGTTGAGTAGAAAATTGCAGCAGTAATCAAGAACATACAAATGGTAAAGAACCTAAGCATGACCCTTCCATTACTACCCTTTGGTAGCCCCTTAGCTATGGCATTGCCTGATAGGGAAGCGCAATACCCTCACCAATTGGCCCTCAAAATCTGTTACTTCCTCAAATCCACTTGCTCAGCAGCCTCTTCTAGCTGTCACGGGCTCGGTGTCTGCAAGAAACAAGGAAACACACAGTCGTGTGCATTTTATAATGCAAACCCCAGGTGGCTTCTCCCTACAAGCCCCGCCCTACCTCCCACTCTGCTCAGTTACCGCCCTCTTCCCACACTGCTCTCTTTCTATTGGACCACGGCCCTCTGCTCTCGAGCACCCCGCTTGTTACCTCGCCTCTAATTGTAACGATATGTACGTTATATTTAGACACAGTATGTACACTACCTCCTCACCATCCTTCTGGTCCAATTATTACAATGTTCATTGCGGTTATCTGGTAGAGCGTCAGATGAGGCACGACAAGGATAGATAGAGGCAAAGAAAGTGCGATCATCGACAAGAAGGGAAAAATAGTGGTGACCCATGAGAGGCTGCTAGAAAAGAAACCCATAGGTCCATATGCACGAGATTAAGGGGCAGGGGCACGGCAGGGGAGAAGAAGGATGAGGAGATTGTGAGAGCTTGGCTTGAACACACGAAGTGTACGGAGGAGCGGTAGAGAGGTGGGGCTGAGGGGCTGGAGAGAGGAGGGGGGGTCATAAAGCAGCTTCGAGGTGACCTTGCTCCAAAGGAGGGGAAGTTTAAGGTAGCCAAGACAATGATGAAGAAGAAGGGTAGGTTGAGCCAGAGAATGACAATCGCAAGAAGAGATGGAAGGGGCGGAACCAGAGGAAGTACCGTATGATGAACATAACATATTGTGTAGAGAAAAAGAGGGGACAGGGTGAAACAAGCAAGGCTCTGGTCGAGGTGACATGCAGAAAAGCTTGCTCATGCATGAAGGGAAAGAGAAATAGGAGGTTGTGACAGCAGGAGGGAGCATAGAGTCCAGTGACACAGCCAGAGGGGGGAGCAGGACAGGGAAGAGTGCCAACTAAACCTAGGGTGTGTTCAGTCTAGGAACCGACTCCAAAACGAACCTAAACTGAGGATAAATGAAACTAAAGGCTAAAACTGTCTGAAAAATCGTGTAAGGCTAGAGTAACATACAAAGCGGAAACTAGCCTACTCCAACAACCCGGATATAAACCCCGCCAAAATATAGCCCCCATAGGTGGCAAATGGGGGGTGATTCCCTTAATTCGGTATCCTGAATACTACCGTATACCCCTTCTTTTCCTTTCTAAACAAGCACCCCCTCTGCTACGTTTTCTGCCCTGCTAGTTTAGCTACATTGTATATCTTAAGTTTACCACCACATGATGCAGGAATAGCACCATTTTATCGCATTTGCAACACTGGTTCTCATGAAATATGTAAAAAATCCATGCAAAATAGCAAACCCGGGTTCTATATGTTCGTCCCACAAAAGTGCTCCCACACCTTGATTTTCAGAGCATATTAGCACTCTGCACCCCAGGCAGCAAATTCGGGGGATTGCTTTGGTTAACCACTTGGGAAAAACCCACTGAACAATCCAGCGGCACTATCTTCCCACTGTTTATTTGACAGCTCACCCAAGCAGACGAAACTCTAATGTTTTCGCTTACAACACTAGCCATCTTCTCGACATGCTTTCCCGAGGTCAAAATCACCTCATTAGGGTGCCTTGTCGTTGTAGTACTTGGAGAGGGGCACCCTATCTGCACAAATGCTGCATAGGGCGTCAAATATTCAGGGGTGCCAATATCCGAAGGATGAGGTATTTCAGGGAATAAATAGTGAAACATTCAAGAGTCAACAACAGCTACACGGGCCTGATGAATCATGTGTCATCCGAAACCTGCCTACAAAGCGATCGAATGGTACAAAACAGCTTTGAAGCCCTTTTCCAGATCATCCCAAGTTGGCACTAGTAGAAGCATGTGTGAAATTTCGACCTCCCAGCAGCAACCCCTTAGAACTCCTCTGAAATCCCACTCCTATCCCTGCCACCACCCGTGAGCCTCTCCAGGCTCTCCTCCATAGTCTCGTTTGTGCTCTCCTTCACGGGCATGCTCGGTTCAAGGGGGGCGCACTCTCCCTCGCTGCAATGCCTGGAGAGGAGCGCCTGCAGGCGGCGTGCGACGTCCTTCATGGGGGGGCACGCGTGAAATGCCTGACTAGCTTTAGTCCACCAATCACCACTTCCCTGTCAAATTAGAACTCGTCCACCCAGCAGCAAGCCCTCACAACTCCTCCGAAATATCTATCTTGCCAAAAGTGTCCATGTCACCACCGGTGCCACCACCCGTGAGCTTTTCCAGGCTCTCCTCCATGGTCTCCGTCATGCGTGTGCTCGGTTCATGGGGGTTGCAGGTCCCTTCGCTGCAGTATTTAGAGAGGAGGGCCTGCAGGCGGCGGGCGACGTCCTTCATGGGGGGGCGGCGGGAGCCGGGCACCTTGACGCAGTCGAGAGCGATGTCGTCAAACTCCACCACCGCATCCTCCGAGGCCTCCAGTGCCGCGTCCTTCAGCGAGCTGAACTCGTACGCCTGCACCTTGCGCGCTGCCTGAAAGGCATGGGGGAGGGGGAGGGACAGGGCAGGTGGGTGGAGGGGAGGAAGAATTCGCTGAACTCGTACGCCTGCACCTTGCGCGTCGCCTGCCATGCATGGGGTGGGGCAAGGGGGATGCTGGGTGGGGGGACGGGGGTGGGTCGCTACGCCTGCACCTTGCACAATGGGTGGGGAGAAGGAGGGGGATGGGTGTGGGTTTGGGTGTTGTGTAGGTGGATCTTGAAAAAAAGAACCTAGGAGCTATGGATGATGAGAAGGTGAAAACATTTTGCTAGGTGTGTGAGAGTACAAAGAGATAGAGTTTGGTGCGAAACCCCACCCAAACATAGGGCAGCAGTTTAGGGAAGTAACAGGAAGCTGAACTCAACCTGAACCTGAAGTGAAACTGGGGCTAAAGCTGGCTGAACAAATAAATAAGGCCAGAAAAGGTACAGCGCATAAACTGGACTTGTTTATCAGTGGAGGGACGCAAGCCACGATGAGAAGAGGCAAAAGACGGCATAAGGACCTTGGGTACGAATAGTGAGAATTACGAAGAGCTCTTGCACAATCTTAGCTGAAGAGTAGACCACAATTGGGCATGTCCTCACCCATTCACAGATATGCTCGTCGGTGCCTCCTCTCACATTGGTCCTCTGGGTGGTCAAGAGCTCAAGCAGCACCACGCCAAAGCTGCAAACATGGGAAGTTGCAGTGGCAGGGGAGTGGGAGAATATGTACATCAGTTCAACCGAAATGAGGACTCAGTCTATTGAGCTCGCTTGTGAAAGAGCGTGGAATCCGCCAAAAAAGGAATGAGACATTATGATATCTAGGGTGGCTGGAATAACATTATCACTCTGTAGTTTCTTTGGCGTATCCTAATCTCGTAAAGATGTGTATCCGCTCTCATAAACTACGTACCCTGTGTCATATAGCCAACCTGTAGACGTCGTAACCAGTCACCACATGGGAACGGTTGTAATCAGGGTCTACGTAGCCCGGAGTCCCGGCTATCCGCGTCTGATCACTGTGCTCTCCTTCATGACTCAGCTTCTTCAGTAAGCCAAAGTCTGCTATTTTGGCCTGTGAGCATGCACCCACACACCCACCAGTGCTCCCACTCACCGGTGTACACCACACACGTAGACACACATGCATGCACACACACACAGAGACACATACACACGCATGCACGCATGAACACGCATACACACACACACAACGCGCGCACACGCACGTGCACACGCGCGCGCGCGTGCACACACACAGACATACACACACACACACACACACATACACACACACACACACACACACACATACACACACGCACACACACACACACACACACAAACCCATTGGAAAACAGGCAAAAATGCAGGTATGGCAATTTCACATGCGCACACAATCTTCTATGCGGCCTTCCTCTGCACAGCATCTATGCGAATCTGTATTGCATCAAGACCTGCCACCCTGTTGCTTTAAATATCGCTTGCCGCTCGCACTCTTTACATTTCAGGGAGCACAGTTCGCCACCTGTGTTCTACTCAATGCACAAGCATGGAGCTACAGCTGCACGGAACTACCACGGCACACTCAGTACCTGGAGCTACAGCTGCACCAATCTTGGGCCACAACTGTAACTCTCGAGGTTATCTATTTCTCATGATCTCCACACAACAGGCAATCCATAGTTGTATCGTCTTTGACTAAACTCACCCTTACCACTGCACTATTCTAGGCGAATTTCCACCTACTCCTGCACAGCTCGTATGGTTTGAGTCAATATGCCATCCCCTTTTTACCCACAGAATGCCATCCATATGGCATTGTTTTCCTCCGTATATGGCCTCATTGACTGCTCCTTCAAACTCATTAACTTTTATAATTTCTTCTTTCTTAACCACCTAGAAGGTAAGGCAGAGAGAAGTTAACCTTTAAGAAGTGGCACGCAAAGCTCGCGTTCTCTTGCTTCTATATTTTGGTATTTGTTGACAACATGATCCTAAACAATAACACCCTTGCCAAGCTGACCGATATGCACGATTCCTCCGCCTGCACAAAAGCACTCCCATGCCACCCATATCAAAAGGGGCCTCGAGATCTTTGAGATGACTCACACCTATGAGTCGACCCATGCTCCGGCCATCTCTGCGTGACCCTCTAAATAACCAGCCTTGGGGATGCGATTATACTTTTACTATGTCATGGATCCTTTCCATCACCGGAGTTTTGGGGCTCTGAAAAATACAGGAAGGCAAAGATTCCCCTGCTTCAAAAACCCACCTTCTTCTAGTGCTTCCACCAGTTTGTGATCTTTACCTACTGTGCCTTCACATGTTCTGCGTGCTTAACATGCCACCTATTCTCCCCACAGCCAGCCTCACCTGGTAGTCTTGTGTGACGAGGATGTTGCCGGGCTTGAGGTCGCGGTGCACGATGGGCGTCGCAAAGCTGTGCAGATACGCCACTCCCTCCGCTGCCCCCACCGCCAGCTGCAGCCGCTCCTTCAGGGTCAGGGGCACTGGGGAAGGAGGAAATGAAAAGAGGAGTTGCGATGAAAGAAAGGAAGAAAGAAAGAAAGAAAGAAAGAAAGAAAGAAAGAAAAAAAGAAAGAAAGAAAGAAAGAAAGAAAGAAAGAAAGAAAGAAAGAAAGAAAGAAAGAAAGAAAGAAAGAAAGAAAGAAAGAAGGAAGGAAAGACGGAAGGAAGGAAGGAAGGAAAGAAGGAAGGAAGGAAGGAAAGAAGGAAGGAAAGAAGGAAGGAAGGAAAGAAGGAAGAAAAGAAAGAAGGAAGGAAAGAAAGAAAGAAGGAAGGAAAGAAGGAAGGAAAGAAGGAAAGAAGGAAGGAAAGAAGGAAGGAAAGAAAGAAGGAAAGAAGGAAGGAAGGAAGGAAGGAAGGAAGGAAGAAAGGAAGGAAGGAAGGAAGGAAGGAAGGAAGGAAGGAAGGAAGGAAGGAAGGAAGGAAGGAAGGAAGGAAGGAAGGAAGGAAAGAAGGAAGGAAGGAAGGAAGGAAGGAAAGAAAGAAGGAAAGAAGGAAAGAAGGAAAGAAAGAAAGAAAGAAAGAAAGAAAGAAAGAAAGAAAGAAAGAAAGAAAGAAAGAAAGAAAGAAAGAAAGAAAGAAAGAAAGAAAGAACAACATGTATATATACATATAGAAATAAAGAAAGATAAAATGAAGAAGAGAAAAAAAGAAATGAAGAGAATGAACGATAGACAGTAACAAAGAAGAAACAAACCGGAAAGAGGAACAGAGCCGTTATTGATGAGAGCAAGTGGCAAAGCAGCATGTCTAGCAGGTAATCTATATGATAAGCCAAGGAGGGGGAGCGTAGTCTTGAGCTCGTAAGTGTGGTATTTTTGCTGGAAAAGCATCCTTAACCTACTTTCATTCCAAATCACGTTCGTACAGTAAGAATCAGGGTCCTATCTGAACAGGATATTTTCTAGCACAGGCAGGAAGAGGTTGCAGACTACATGCGAGCGTACACTTAAATTCATGGATGTGTTACTTGAGAAGCAGAAAATGGTCGGGCCAAGGAGCACAAAGAGGGAGAGCATACATTTAGAGTCATGGGTGTTGTTACTTGAGAAGCATTTCCAGCAGAACATGGTCCGATCAAGCAAGGAGAGAGAGCATACTTTTTTGGTCGTGGATGTGGTACTTGAGGTCCCCGTTGGGCTTACTTGAATCTTTTTTTTCACAGAGCTTACTCTTGGAGTCGTGGATGTGGTACTTGAGGTCCCCATGGGAGAGCACATGCATTGGGAGCTTACTCTTTGAGTCGTGGATGTGGAACTTGAGATCCCCGTTTGGCACGAACTCATAGACGAGAATCTGCTCCTGCTGGCCGCTCTCCACGTTCTGATGCAGGCAGAATCCCAACAGGCGCACCACGTGCTCATGCCGCAGCGACGCCATCGCCCGCACCTGCCACCTCGTTGGAGGGGTCAGGCGGGTTCAAGGAGTGTCATTGAAGAAGAGGAGGAGTTTTAGTGCATAAGAAAAGGGAGGTTGAGAAATTGTTGCTGTGCCGCAGCAGCACCATCACCCATTTCTGGAAGTTAATTGCAAGGAGAGAGGTGGGACTCAAGTGGTGAAAGTGCCACCAAGGACTCTTGATACGAGCTCATCCTGGTCACTTTGTTGAATACGCATCCAATCCGCTCCAGCATTCGCGTTGCAGGTATGAGAAATAGGAAGTGCCTATCTGGCTCCCCACTGACACAAGGAAATCTTTTTGATCGAACATCACAAACACCAATGTCATGTCACTCCCCAAGTCCATGCAGTGCACTGGCTGACCTCCTTCTCGAAGTCGTTGGACATGAGCTCATTGCGCTTGATGGCCCATGGCTCGCCCTTCTCCGACACGCCCTTGTACACCGTGGCAAAGCCGCCCTTCCCCAACACACTCGCACTCGACCAGTGGTCTGTCGCCCGCAGAATCTCCCCGATGCTGAACTCGTGACACACGTCCAGGTCGCCCCACTTCCCTGCCGCATGCCATGGCCGCATCAAAAGCAGAGCACATTATAAGGAGCTGAGAATCTCCACCAGTGCTAAATACGTGCTTGCCTTCACTTACCTTGGGTGGGAGGTTAGAGGGACGTTTAGGAGAGGGCAGGGGCTCACTTCGTTGGCGGGGCCAGAGCAGCGTGAAAACAAGAGTGAGGAGGAGCGCAAAAGCGGCAGCAGAGCCCACAGCGATGCCGACCACTGCGCCCGTGGAGAGCGCTGGAGATGTAGGGGGGAAGACGGTGGGGGAGGGAGTGGCGGGGAAAACAAATCAGGAGGGAGCGACAAAAGAATTATGATAAACAGAACCTCCTTCACAGTTTCACGTTTTGCAAGGTGAAGCTACAACGGTTACATGTGAGAAGATTAACACGCCAAGACAATTGAGAACCTTGACGTTCCCCTGGGATTCACAGAGCATACCTTGTGGAGGGAGCGGAGCAGGGCGGGCGCAGGTGGAGCCGAGGGTGCCGTTGGTGGGGACGAAGCCGTCGTCGCACTCACACGTGAAGCGCGCCTCTGCTGCCCCCGCCTGCGGCGGCACACACGCTCCGTGCCCGTCGCACTGCCCCAGCTCCCGCGACATGCTGCAGAATGCCAGGCACTCGTCGCTGCTGCGCTGCGTCTCGTTCGCCGTGCACTCCATCTGCTTGTTCAATGTGAAGCAATTCCGCCGCAGACTCGCCTCAGCCCGCTTGTTGGCCCCTGCACGTGTTGTCTCAACAAATCCTCCCAACCCCTGGGGTCCACACCGGCCTCCAGAGGGTCCGGTGAGGTCGTCTAGTGTTAAAACAAGGGGCTGGATGACCCCCGAGGGGCAGAACTGGCAGCCATCGGCGTAGAGCATGGGGTCGCTATAGAAGAAGTTGCCTGCGATGTTGAGCAGAGCGCCGTTGTCAGGAATCATGCTGCGGAAGTTGCTGTTGATGGGGCCGTAGAAGCTGCTGTTGCTGATGTCACTGAAACAATGGAAAGAGGGGTAGCAAAGAGAAGTGTGGAGGCCATTACAACATTGGCTTGCACTCGCTGTCTACTGCTGCGGTTCAGACACTCGAATCGACATGAAAAAGGGCCCGATTCGTGGCTATCTAATTTGTGGCTCTGGCTGGTTCATGCGGAGCTGGGCTGAACAACGAGCAATCAAAATCGCCAAAATGCCTTGATCTGCATGAATCGGCGGTCGAAACGTGCTGATCCTTGGAGATGGCCGGTCAAGATATGCCAGTATGCACAGATTGGCTGTGCAAAGGTGCCACTAACCCATTTTCACCCAATTTCACACCCTCTTCCCCACCCCTGCCAACCGCACTTAACCCAAACACAACTGCAAAACGCAACATATCCCCAGTTCCATAACCGAACGAGCGAGCAACCTCCAGCAACTCTAATCCCTTCCGTTCTTCCATTTTGCCTAGTGTTTGCTCGGGCCCTATGAATTTGTTTAGCAACTTAAAGCCCTCAGCCCAGATTGCGGAGTGCACGGGTCAGCCTTACTATTCTTGCACACTTGGCATTTGGGATGGTGTATCTTGGAAAATTTCTGGTTGATGTTGGTGTGATGTGTGTGTGGGGCGGACCTTGTACTTGTATGATTCGCACCAGTCGCTGATTGGGTGATGTGAACGATGGTTGGAATGTTGGAGTGGCGAGATTTGTTTCAGTCACAGGGTGTCGCGGTTCAAATACTCGAGAAGTCACAGGCGCGATATCACATTTTTGCCAACAGTTGTCATTTTCTACGGTGTGCAAGGAATTACAACCGACCGAATTTGAAAATCGCACTGCACCGTTGGCCCAGAAGCGTCGAAAGTACCAAGTATCGTTCGAATGTTCACGGCGTCGCCAAGGGCTCACGAACTTGTTCGCAAACTCTAGCGAATACAGTAACCACCTGACGGTGCAAACGGACCTCGCTTTGCAACATCAGGTCTCAGGATGTTCCACATCTTTAGCTCATGCCGAGTGCTCTGTATGTCTTTTCACATTCAGAAACCACTTGTTCTTCCATCCCAAGATTTCGAGGTCGCCATACTATGTTCAAACATGTTTAGATACTCAGCATTTACTTTGCTGAAAAGGTAAATACAGGGTATCTAAATATGTTTGAACATAGTACGAAGGCCTCCGAATTTTGGGATGTCATTCTTAGCAACCACCTGAGCACAGTGCTCCGTTATACCTCGCCAATGTATATTCTTACGCAATATCTGTCAAGATTACTCACATCTTGTGCAAGCAGTGTTCGAAGAGGCAGGACGGAAATTCACCATAGAAGTAGTTGTTGTGAAGAAAACTGAAACAGTGAGAAGGCACGCCGTGCAAGAAATAAGTAAATGTGGCTTACTGTGCGGAGATAACTCTATCAACGGGAGCTAGACTACGGGCTAGGCACGGGGTAGAAGGGATCTCTGTGTTCGTTCGTTCCTTAGTCGTTTCCAAGTGCTCACACTACTTGCTAGTTCACGGGGAGAATTGGCAAGAGTTCCACTAGGAAAAGTTCACAACAATGATGATGCAATCAAGTTGGCAAGACAAGGCTACATCAGAGCTAGAATGCAAGCAGGTCGACTGCCAGCGCAGCACGGTCGACCGCGCTCCAGCACGACTTGGTCGACCGCGCTCCAGCAGTGCAAAGTCGACGGCGTGCCAACGCTGCAGGTCGACGGCGTGCCAGCGTTGCTCCCGCAGAACAGCAGCGCACCTACTTCGCAGGTGCTTGCAGATGATTGAAGTGCAGTGCCTTGTCACCTGCACAACGCACACACCAAGTCGTCCTCGTGCTGACGATTGCACCTGATCAGCCACGTCGACCTCGGGATACCACCACCGAGGTCGATCTCGCCAATACCACATGGGCGACCGTCGCACTCCTTCGCAGAACCTCGTCACCCAGGTAACCTGGTCGACCGGGCAACCACCACGTCGACCAGCTGCTTCCTTTTGTGCCCGTCGACCTCCCAAGTCGACGACCACCTTCAGTCGACCTCACCAGGTCGACCACAACCTTGGTCGACCAGCTCCAAGTCGACAACGCTCCTGGTCGACCAACTCCAGGTCGACCAGCACACGTCTCAGCCGACCACACTAAGTCGGCTTCCCCTGATGAAGTTGTGAGAAACTGAGAGAGAACGAGAATGAATGAACTAGCAGAAAGTTGGGTACAAGTAGGAAACCCTAAGTTTGTTGTACCCCCTATGGCTAAACCCACTATAGCCTACACAATATAAACATATAATGTTTGACACACCCCCATAGGCTGAGTGGGAGACAACCAGACGGTCACAAGACCAGTCAAGAAAGCAAAGCAAAACAAGCTCAGGGTGGATCTCAAGGATACCACACAAATTCCGAGCACAAGCAAGTGGTCACAAGACCAGTTCACATGCAGTTTGATAATAGAACAAGAGGTACAGAGATCACAACCTAGCAAGTGTAAGCATGCAGGTATGTATATATATATAGAGATCACAGTACAAGCAGAGTCAAGAAGTGAGCAAGTGAGGGAGAGTAGGCACAAGGCCTAGAACAGTACAGAAACGCTGATGATCACAAGGCTGAAGCGCCTTGGTGAACACATCAGCAGTGTTAACCCGAGTGGCCACTTACGAGAGACGAAGCTGACCACGCTGCTGCAGCTCTCGAGCAAGGAAGTAGCGCAGAGCGATGTGCTTCGTTCTGTGCTCCAGTCTGTGCTCCTGACACAAGGCAATGGCTGCCTTGTTGTCGACGCACAGCACTGGAGGAGAACGAGGCCGCTCTCCGAGGTCGGTCAGCAGGTAGGTGAGCCAGCGTAGCTCCTGGGCAGCCATGGCTGTGGCGTAGATCTCAGCCTCACAACTGGAGCTGAGAACAGAGGAAGAGCGTGTAGAACGCCGAGAAACAGAGCCAGAGCCAAGGCTGAAGGTGTAACCCTGAGACGACCGCTGCGTAGCCTGGTCGTCAGCCCAAGAAGCGTCTGAGTGTCCAGTGAGGACAACGTCGCGCCGTCCTCCAAGCACAAGCCCCATGCCCGACGTACTGCACAAGTAGCGCAACACCCTCTTAGCGGCATCCATGTGCTCCTTCCGGTGACGGCCAGGAGCGACATAGCGTGCGAGGATGCTAAGAGGGTATGCAAGGTCAGGTCGAGTGCAGGTCATCAGGTACATGAGGCAACCCACAAGCTCTGGATACGGGCCACTCGGCTCTACAGACTCATCCGAAGGCAGAGCTGAGAGCGAGTGACCGGTAGGCAGAGGAGTGGGCTGAGGCGAGGAGTACGTGAAGCGGAAGCGCTGAAGGACCTGCTGCACCATGTGTGACCGAGTCAAGGTGATGGTGCGCTGTGCTCTGTCCCGGGTGATCCGCAAGCCAAGATAGCTTGTCAGCTCACCCAGGTCTGTGCACGTGTGTCTCTTCTGCAGCTCCGACTTCACGTGGGCGAGTGCCTCAGTGTCAGCAGTAGCAAAGACCAAGTCGTCTACGTACACAAGAACGTAGAACGGCGGCAGAGTGGTGTCGGTGCGTAGAAACAGCGACGGGTCAGCAGTAGAGGGAGCAAACCCAAGAGCAGCAAGAGTAGTCCTCAGTGTGTCGTGCCACTCACGGGGTGCCTGGCGGAGACCGTAGACTGGCCGCCGGAGGCTCCACTGGGTACTAGGAGGGAACGACCCAGTGAAGCCAGGTGGGCGGCGCAGCCAGATCTCCTCGTGCAGGCTGCCCTGTAGGAACGCAGTGCTGAAGTCAAGAGAGTTGAGCTCGTAGTCACGCTGAGCAGCAACGTGCAGCAGGACCCGAAGAGTGGTCATCTTCGGGGTCGGGGAGAAGGTCTGGAAGAAGTCAACTCCCTCACGCTGACTGAAGCCTCGTGCAACGTAACGCGCCTTGAAGACAGGCGGAGAACCTGGCGGCCGCTTCACCCTGAAAATCCACATGCCACTGACGATGTTCGCCCCAGGTGGGGGAACCTCGTCGACGTAGGTGCCTGTGGACTTCCAGGAAGCCATCTCTGCGTCCATGGCTGTCTGCCACTGAGAGGAGTAGAGACCCTCCATCGCCTCTGCGTAGGAGCGTGGGGTCGGGATGTCTGGTGCATCCGGGTCTCCCTCAGGGGCAATCAGCATGGACACGAGATGAGGTAAAGCAGCAGCAAAGCACTCAAACTCCTCCTGTCTGTCCTCGAGGACGTCCGTGCCAAGAGCACGCTCACCCCCGACGGACGGAGGACAGACAGACTCAGACTCAGCAACAAGGCTAGCGGTGTAGTCTAGACGACAGGCGGCAGCAAAGTCTACAAGCTCGGCGACTAGAGCAGACGCAGCAGAGGACTCAAAGGTAGGGTCAGTGACAACAGTAGCGAGGAAACGCGTGACAGTAGGACTGGCAGCACGAGCAAGGTCTGACGGCGGGTCAGCAACGTCAGGAAGAGAGGACGCAGGAGGAGACAGCAGAGGGACACGCTGTGGAGCAGTGGACGGACGCAGGGTCATATAGTGAGTGCCAAGGACAGGAGGAGGACGCTGACGCGGAGCACGACGACCAGCGCGGACAGCCGACTCGGGAAACGACTCAGGCGACTCTGGACTAGACTCAGGCGACGGAGGACGAGACTCAGGCGACGGAGGACGAGACTCAGGCTCACGACGCTCCGTAAGACTACCCGTCGGCGCAGTGTAAGGAGGACCAGGCAGCGGAGAGGCAGGCTGTAACTGTGACTGCGACTGGACAGGCGGTGGACTCAGTAGGGGAGGAGTAGGACCAGTAGAGGGCGGGAGACCAAGAACCTGCTGAAGGAGCGGAACGTAGTACGGCCGCGGCCACTCAGCACCTCCAGCTCCAACCCCCTCATCAGCTCCAGTCCCAGCAGCTCCAGTACCTCCAGTACGAGCACCTCCGGGACCAGCGGCTCCAGCAGCTCCGGCACCAGCAGCACCACCAGCAGCACCAGCACCTCCAGCAGCTCCAGCAGCACCAGCACCAGTAGCACCTCCAGCAGCTCCAGCAGCTCCAGCACCAGCAGCACCTCCAGCACCTCCAGCAGCACCAGCACCAGCAGCACCTCCAGCAGTGCCAGCAGCACCGCCAGCAGCAGCAGCACCTCCAGCAGCTCCAGCAGCTCCAGCACCAGCAGCACCTCCAGCAGCGCCAGCAGCACCGCCAGCAGCACCAGCACCTCCAGCAGCTCCAGCAGCACCAGCACCAGTAGCACCTCCAGCAGCTCCAGCAGCTACAGCACCAGCAGCACCTCCAGCAGCGCCAGCAGCACCGCCAGCAGCAGCAGCACCAGCAGCACCAGTACCAGCAGCAGCTCCAGCTCCAGGGTCCGTGACACTAGTAGCGCCACTCCGGAGACTGCAGCGCCGAGCGTACCACTCTCGGAGCCGCTGGGGAGAGGGCAGCTCCCGCCTAGGAGGGGAAGCACGAGCAC